GTTAGACGTCCCGAAGCACTTGTGCTGTGAAGAATTCTTTTCATTGGCAGGTTAGTTAGTACAGTGACCGTGTGTCCCTGAAAATAGGGTCTCAGCTTTTGGGCGGCAGTTACCAATGCCAGGGCTGCCTTCTCGATGGCTGGGTACCTTCTTTCAGTTGGGAGAAGCGTCTTACTAATGTAGTACACCGGCTGATCTGCAAGATTTTCAAGGTGACGCCTAACAAGCACCGCACTGATAGCCACGTCTGATATGGCTATGTAAAGGAACAAACGTTCTCCCTCCTTTGGAGCTACGAGGATGGGGGGATTCACTAGCAGAGTCTTCATCTCTTCGAACGCCTTCTCACATTCTTCCGTCCACTTGAACTTGGATTTCTTCTTTAGAGAATTGAAAAGTGGGGCGCACCTATCCGCCGACCTTGGAATGAACCTGTTAAGAGCGGCGAGTTTACCTGCCAACGCTTGAACCTCTTTTACTGTTCTTGGTGACTTGAGTTCGGAAATTGCTTTTATCTGCTTGGGATTAGCCTCAATACCACGGCGAGTGATCATGAAGCCTAAGAATTGACCCGCACCTGCTCCGAATACACACTTAAGGGGGTTAAGCTTCAGATTGTGACGTCTCAGGTTCTCGAACGTCTCCCTGAGGTCGCTCAGATGGTCACCCTCTTTCTTGCTCTTGATTAACACATCGTCTACGTACGCCTCCACATTTCGTCCTATCTGTTCTCCAAATACTTTGTCTACCATCCTCTGATAGGTGGCACCCGCGTTTTTCAGACCAAATGGCATCACTACATAGCAGTAGTTCCCGTACGGGGTCATGAAAGCCGTTTTCTCTTGATCTCCTTCGCTGAGAGGGATTTGGTGGTACCCTGAAAACATGTCGAGAAAGCTTAACATTTCGTGGTTGGAGGTGGCATCGACCAGCTGGTCAATTCTTGGTAAGGGGTACGGGTCCTTCGGGCATGCTTTGTTTAGCGATGTGAAGTCAATACACATTCTCCATGTCCCGTTGTGCTTCTTGACTAACACTGTGTTTGCCAACCACTTCGGGTACTGTACCTCTCGGATGAACCCTGCCTTAAGTAACTTTTGCACCTCTTCCATCATGGCCACCCTCCTTGCCAACGATGCTCCCCTTCTTTTTTGCTGTACTGGCACACTTTCTGGTTTCACGGAAAGCTTATGTTCCATAAGGTCTCTGGAAACTCCTGGCATGTCTTCAGGACTCCAAGCAAACAAGTCTGAGTATTCTCGTAACAAGTTGATCATTGGGAGGCGCATGTGCTCCGGCAAATGGGCTGAGAGTCGGACGACTCGGCTTGGGTCGTCGGGGTCTAGTGGCAGCTCAATTTCTGAATCCACCGCTCCTGGGCGCGGCACTTCTGTTGGCCTGGCATCAATCGTGTGTATTTTTGGCTTGTGTAGGGTTGCCGCATAGCACGCCTTTGCTGCCTTCACATCTCCTCTGGCTATCCCCATTCCTTGGGGTGTTTGGAATTTCATTGCTTGATGACAGGTTGAGGCTACAGCTCCAAACTTAGCTAGGAAGGGCCTTCCCAGAATAGCATTATATGCGGACGGGCAATCGGCAATGTGGAAGTCCACTGGGTGTGTAGCACTCGGCTCCTCATCTCCTACCTTGACTTTTAGGCGCGCCGTTCCTAACACCTTCACTTTCGCTCCGGAGAAGCCGACAAGTTGGGCTTCTGAAGCTTGCATCACCTCAGGGGGTGTCTGCATTTGGCGCCAACAAGAGTAGAAGAGTATGTCAGCGGAACTCCCACTATCCACCAGCACTCTGAACACCTTGAAACCTTCTACTTGTATGTTGATGACGAGAGGGCTCTCAGACGGGCCCTCTGGAGGATAGTCTTGTGATGTAAACGACAGGTCGGGACCATCCTGTTTTGCGATCTTCATGCACCATGTGTCGCTTGTTTGCCCCTTGCGCTTCTTCTTTCGGCTAGGCTCCCCTCCCGCGATGCTTCTTATCTCCTTGACGTTCGGGTTGGGGCCTAGGCGCTCCTGTACTGGTGGCCTGGCGACCGGGGAGCGACTGCGTTCACGCGGGGATTGGTTTCCCAGATCTGCCTTTTGGATCATCTCCCTTACCCCTCCTCGATCGGAGATTATCTTGAGTGCCTTTTTGAAGTAGTGGCAGTCGACGGTGTTGTGTGTGCGCGAGTTGTGGTACTCACAGTACATGTTCGCCTGCCCACGAGATTGGTTCACGTTCTCGCGATTGGTGCGGTCGCGGCGAGGCTCCTGTGAATTTGCAAGAACGTCTCTTCTTACCCAGACATTGGGACGTCGGGTATCATCCCGTCGATCAGGACTCCGCCTTCTGGTCCTAGACGCCTCGCCCCTCCCACTCTGAGTTGGGCGCCTAGAGTTACCTCCTTGTTCTTCTTCCTTTGACCCTAGCGCCTCCTCCATGAGAATTGCCTTTTGAATTTTTTCCTCTAGCTCGGCCACCTGCCTTATCTCTCTTTTGGCCAGAGAGCGCCTTAGCTCTTCGTTAGTGCTGGCGTCCATTAGGTTGGTGCGCATGAGTGGAGGGGTTAGGTCTTTAACATCGGACGCAACCTCCCACCATCGCCCCATGAAGTGCCTGAGGCTCTCTCCCTTTCTTTGCTTAAGGTTGACAAGTGCCCGGACCGTCAGTGTCTGCCTCTTCTGGCTAGCATACTTCGTTGTGAATAGCAATGCGAATTGAGCGAAGCTCTGAATGATGCCCTCCGGAAGCGATGAGTACCAACTACTGCACGCTCCGGTGAAGGTTGAGGGGAATGCCTTGCACAAGGCGGCGTCGGACGCGTTGAGAAGTTGCATTTTACGGCAGAACGCACTCAAATGATCCTCTGGATCAGACTTTCCTTCATATGATGGTAGACCGATGCTTGCGAAATTTGGTGGGATTGGTGTCTCGAGCACTCCTTTTGACAATGGTTGTCTAATGATTTGAGAACTTCTTTCCTCCAAGGCACCATAGTTGAGTCGAGCGTACTTTTCCAAGTAGACATCGTCGTCCGCTTCCATTGCATCCTCATTTGGCGAGGCGCCTACACCCTCCCTTGGGGAGTTCGTGGGAGGCGCCTCAGCTTCCAGCATTTTTCCTCGGAGGCGCCTCCTCTCTTCCATGGCTTCTTGTGAGTTGGGAGGCGCCTGGTCGTTACCTTTGGTGAGCGCCGTCAATGCGGTCATGACTTGGTCTAGTTGGCCTTGCATGCTCGCCATTTGGAGCGCTTGCTTTTCCCGGAGCTTTGCCAATTGGTCCTCCATGCGCCCCGCGCCTTCTCCACTTCCCGATGGGTCCTCGTCGTCGGATGCTTCCAAACCTTGAATGGTGAGTGGTTGGGGGTTGATTGCTTCACGACCAACAACTTGCTTGAGTGGCGTCTTTGTAGGCGCCGGGCTCCTTTCCTCCCCCTTCTTTGAGTTGGAAGCGTCTTTCAAAGTCATGCTTGGCCCCACGGTGGGCGCCAATTGTTTGAGCCCGATCGACTGGGGGTCGCTCGGGTCCAAGGGGTTTGGGGCGTCAGCCATGACCTTGAAAGGGTAGGCGCCCCTCCTCGTCCGAAGTAGAAGAAAAGAAGAAGTATGTAGAGAGGGAAAGTAGAGAGAAGTTGGAGTAAAGAGTAGATGATCTTATTTATGAGGAGAGAACTCCTATTTATACACAATTGAGAGTTAGGTAGTGGTCTGGGCGCCTGCCAAGCCATAAATGCTCTGGTCGGGCGCCTCAGACTCTCTGACACTGTTCATAGTCCTTTTGGCAGAGGGTGTCCCCTTGCCCCTTGTCCTTGCTGACGTCAGGTGCCTGGGCTTGTCCCCTGTTCTCCAGCCTTGTCTTTTTCCTCTTGTCTTCTTCCCTTCTCCATGTCATTAGCCATGGTATCAATTCCTTAGTCACTATGATACCCTATCAGACACGATTAGGCATTTTAACGGCATCCAAATCGATCGCCAACTCATCACCGCATTAGCCGAGAGATGGAGAAAGGAGACCCATTGTTTCAACTTTAGAGAAGGAGAGGCCACCATCACGCTAAAGGATGTCGCCATCCTAACCCATCTGCCCATCGACGGCAAACCGGTGTGCGTGAGTGATCATCCCCCCGAGGATTGTGACGATATGCCCGGTTGGCAGCATTTCATCCACAGTCATTTGGGAGTGAAAGTACCGGTGAAGGGTTGCGTTGATGCGACCGATCGCATGCCACCAATGAGGAAACACCAAGTCTCAATTACATGGTTGACGAAGTATTTTAGAGATCATTACGAGAGTCATCCGCTTACCGATGAAAGTCCGGAGGATGAGAAGGAGAGATATGCTCGTGTCTATCTCATAGGCATGATCGGAGGAGTGTTCTTCTCCAAGAAAGCAAGCAATCTCCTTAGTTGTGGATGGCTTAGGATCATCTTCAGTAGTTGGGAGGAGATGGGGGAGTATAGTTGGGCATCCTCTTGCCTAGCTATGATCTACCACAACTTGTGCAATGCGTCTCTAAAAGCCGTGAGGGAGGTCAGCGGCGCAATGTTCATCGTCCAATTTTGGGCTTGGGAGCATATGCCATGGCTTGCACCGGCCCAACGTCCAGACAGGGATTGGCCAATCGATCATCCCCTAAGAGGTGAAGCTTATGGAGCAAGGTAAACTTCTCATACCCCATCATGTAGTCATAACACATTTTCCCTTGTGTTTTATCTTATCGTAGTTTCATTCTTGTCTTATTAATAAGGTGGCTTGGACACACCACATGCGACAACCTTGTCCAACACAAGTTGGACGAGTATCGGAGGAGGTTTGAGCGACTTTGGGAAGGAGAAGTAATTTCTATACTGCGATCCATTTATATTTTTTTTTCATGGGACTACATGTATTTTTCTAATTAATTAATCTTACGTTACTCATTTCTTTCTTGTAGATCGTCTTCGATCCATACCCGGAGAACATCGTTCAATGGCATCTCCAGCAATTCCCCGGTCATATCGGGCAATGGTGCACGAGGGTTCCTCTAATTTGTTTTGGGAACGTGGAGTGGCACTATCCGGATCGATGTCTCCGTCAGTTTGGTCGGGAGCAGTGCATTCCGTTGGAGGTCCCCGAAAGTCAATGGGCCTTCCATGGCCGAGATGGTCGGCAAGGTACTCGCGATTGGCCCACGAAGTTGAAGGAATTCATCGCGATTTGGGAGAACCGACAACTACAGGATATTGTCACTCCAAATCAAGTGGGCCGAATGGGGTATCATGACCCATACTTGGATCGATATCGGCAAACATCGGTTCGTTACATGACTCCGGAGGGTGCGGCCGATGGTGCATTAGTAAGTATAACCAGTCTAAACATACTATGATTTATTACTTGGTTCCTAAATCTCTTCTCTTTCTAACCTTTTTCTTTGTGATTTAGGCTGATGGGGTCGAGCGGATTAAAGATATGACTACCGGAAGAACTGAGTTGGGCAATGAAGATGTGGGCTTCATCAGGAGGATTGCAAACAGTCTACTTGGCTGTATCAGAGCTCAGGGCCGGGATCATCGTAGATATCCGCCCGCGCCCGCACCCGCACCACCTCCGGTACAACTTGATGTCCCCGCACCCCCACCACCATACAAGAGAAAGAAGAGCAAGAGGGTTCGGGAAAGGCCCAACGTGCCCGAGGTAACGCCATATGGGGGGTGGAGAGTGCCGCCCCCATTGGTTGTGACCCAAGGTGCCGGACCGAGTTCCACCCAAGGTCCCCGCCCGTCCTCCGCCCCATCTCCCCGCCCGACTATTTCCCAAGATGCCGGCCCGACTTCATCCCAAGAATTCCTCCCCTTCTTCCACAACGATCACCACCAAAGCTCATACTACGATCCCCGCTCGACCTACCATCAATCCTCTCAGAGTTTCCACCAAGCCCCTCTTTCTCCCACCAAGATCTCATACAACGATCCCCGCCAAACATACTACGATTCCCGCCCTATCTACCCCCAATCTCCCCGCCCTATCTACCCCCAATCTCCCCGCCAAACTTCATCTGGGACTTGGCATGATGGCTCCTCCACGACAGGCCAACACGAGTTCGCCCCATGGAATCGACCTCATCAGCAGTGGCCTCCTACTCCTCACCGTATGAGCGCCGACCTCGCCCGCTCGACCCCGGAAGTGCCGCTTCCTCGCCGACATAGCACCGACGAGCGCCACACTACCTCGGCCGTTCGAAACTTGCCACCCCCACCACCTATTGTTACTCCCGTCGGCAAACGTACAAGGAGCAAGAAAACTGTGGGTTCCGGTGAAGCTCGTGGACTTCCTTGAGATGTATTTTGAGTTCATTTTTATCTATATGTACTTGGAACTATTCCCTTCAATTTAATCTATCGTATTTCGTTGAGTGTTGATCAAATTGTTATTATGATGATTCCTCTTCACTTGAGATAATCCCAATTCGTTCAATCAACAATACACAATTAAATGCAACGTAAAAGTTACAACTAGCTTGACGAATGATAACTGAAAATTATGTCGCATTAGCTGATTCCGGCACATCATCACCCGGATTTTGCGGACCAATCGGTCCTGGACACCTTCGTTTATCATGTCCTGGAACTTTGCATACTGAACATCGTCTTGGGCCTCGTGGTGGTCTTCCACTTTGATCCATTTCATTCTGAATTCTCTTTTTCCTCGGGCGCCCCGGTTCACGCCTCTGTCCGAATGGCGGGACGATCAACCCAGGAAATGGGAGGACCATGATAATTGCTTAAAACCCCATTTCCTTAGGCATGCATCTCTTTAGAAAGAGTCTAACAAGTGCACCACTCCCCATATTACAAGATATTGTTAATTGAGAGCAATAGATAGAGAGGTTACCAATCCACCACAAATGATCAGCTAGCTTCTTCCGCTTGAAATGATAGTTCCAGTTGCTCTTGAAGTGTCGTATGCACCACCTTTGGGACCAATTCCAGGCTGGATCCAGGCCTAAGATGGCAGCTCTAATGCAGGCGTGCCGATCAGAGATTATTGTCAGGTTCGTCCTCCTGGTGACGTGGATTTGGATTTGTCGGAAAAACCATCCATAGCTATCAGCATTCTCTCCCTCAACAATGGCGAAGGCTAAAGGAAAGACTTGTCTGTTTGCATCCGCCCCACTGGCAATCAGGAGAGTGCCCTTGTACTTGCCGGTAAGGAATGTACCATCCACAGTAATCACAGGGATACAAAAGCCAAAACCATCAATAGAAGGCTTGAATGCCCAAAACAGTCTGCGAAAATGGCGTTCTTTACCTGCCTCTGGGGGTTGTATCTCTTCATCTTGGTATCGAGGGGAGAACACAGTCCCAGGGTTAGACGCCTCCAATGCCAGTATTAACCTGGGAAGGAATGTATATGATTCTTCCCAATCACCAAAGACGGCGGCCAGAGCTTTCTGCTTTCCATGCCACGCCTTCTTATAGTTAATCATATAACCATAACGACTTGCAATGTCAGCGATTATGACTTTGACCTTCAGATCCGGTTCAGCCTCAATCAGATGCTTGACAGCCGCAGCTACCACCCGGGATTTCAACTGTCGATGGCCTTGGAAAGTTATGGATGACACACATGTGTGTGTGTTGACCGCACGGGATATGACCCAGTTGCCGTGTCTCTTGCTGTTGATGGCCCGAATCCTAACATTGCACCCCTCGTGATGATTACGGCATCTGACTATGAGCCTTTTGGTGTTGGAATGAGTTGTGTGCCATTCAAAATGCCGAGTCATTGCTTCAGTCTCAAGGGCGTGCCGCACCTCCTTCTTCGAGCCAAATTGTTGGCCCTTCGTAAACCCAGTGAGTGGGCCCCATATTGGGACCTCTGGCGGCTCCATGTCGCTGTCGACCATCCAATTGTCGTCTGGAATGTGAGTGTAGTAGGGGACTGGTACACGGTCAGGAGCCACATCATGATCATTATCTGAATCTGAATCTGGTGTTGAATCATCAGCACCTTCAAGAGGGTCTGAGCTGTCTGCACTGACGTTGTTCTCTCCTTCTTCATCAGAGGGGTCGCTGACTGGTGCTGGTGTGGCAGCCTCCATCTGATCCTGCTCATGAAAGGCACCTTCATCAGCTCCATAATGGTAGTTGTGAAAACTACCGCTGCCTGAATGGAAGTTGTACTGGGCTTGGTTGGGGACGTCCGGTTGAACTTCTTCTTCATATGACGAGAAAGATTGATGATGGCCTGCACCTTGCCCTCCATCTTGGTACTGAAAATAGGAATGAGGATCATGGTAACTTTGGTAGGGATGATCGTCATATAATTCACCTCCACCATGGATACCAGATGTTTGACCGTGTCCAGAATGACCTCCACCACCAACGGCTGGCTCGGTGTAAACGAACATCTCGGCTTTGGCCAATTTGTTGGACCTCAAGAATTCGAGCATGGAATCTACGTCATCTTGAGTGGTTATGGTATATTCCTCATGCCACAATGACCCAGTTGCTCTGTTTGGGTATCGGTACACCATACGGTCTACTCTTCTCGTGCCATCCATGCAAGTAACGTCAGTGCATATGTGATGGAGGTCTTCAAGCTTCGGTCTGGTACCGACCGTTATTTTCTGAAAATTGCCACCGACGTAGGTGGCCCCCTTTCCGGTCTCTTCCGTGTAACCATTCCACCGTAAGCCAAGCGTGAACTGACGGAATGCCATCTGCACACAAACAAACCGTAGTTTAGTTAATATCATAAAAATCACAAATCACAAATAACAATAAAAAGTAACACAAAATAAACTTACGAGTTAATGTTAATGGCAAAAACACTAAATAAATATAGACATACAACAGAAAAATGAAAGAGAGAAGGAGAGGTGTGAAGAGTGGAGGTTTTCCGGAAAATCTTATATAGGGGAAAAAATGACGAAAACCGCACCTCTAGGGTGCGGTTTTAGTCTGCCATGCAGCCCTACGTCCATAATTCTCTGCATGGCTGTGTCGGGTGTCGGAAAGTTATTGACACATAGACCGCACTTGGGGGGTGCGTTCTACCTGGCCAAACAGCACCTTAAAGATGCGGTTTGTTCTTGGAGGAATAAAACGCATCACTAAGGTGCGGTTTGCGTAGGTCAGGCCTAAACCGCACCTCGGCCATGCGTTTTATGTAGGCAAGACCTGAAAACGCATGGCCAAAGTGCGTTTTAGGCCCACCAGAATGGAACGCACCCTCCAGGTGCGGTTTACATATAAAACGCACCTGGAGGATGCGATTTATTTGTAAAACGCACCACAAGGGTGCGGTCAATAAAAAAGGGTGTTAGTTTTGTAAATATATTTGGAAGGGTGCTAGTTTTGTAATTTTTTTAAAGGTGCTATTTCTGGAAAAATCTCTTAAATTTATTACTTGGTTCCTATATCTTTTTCTAACCTTTTTTTTATTTAGGCTGATGGGATCGAGCGGATCAAAGATATGACCACCGGGAGAACAGAGTTGGGAAATGAAGATGTGAGCTTCATCAGGAGGATGGCAAACAGTCTACTTGGCTGTATCAGAGCTCAGGGTCGGGATCATCGTAGATATCCGCCCATGCCCGCACCCTAGCCACCTCCGGTACAAGTTGATGTCCCCAATCCCCCACCACCATACGAGAGAAAGAAGAGCAAGAGGGTTCGGGAAAGGCCCAACGTGCCCGATGTAACGCCAATGAGGGCGTGGAAAGTGCCGCCCCCATTGGTTGTGACACATGGTTCCGGACCGAGTTCCACCCAAGGTGCCGGACCGAGTTCCACCCAAGCTCCCGGCCCGACTTCCACCCAAGCTCCCGGCCCGACTTCCACCCAATATCCCCGCCCGACTTCATCCCAAGAGTTCCGCCCATCATACCACAACGATCCCCACCCAAGCTCATACTACGATCCCCGTTCGACCTACCATCAATCCCCTCCGAGTTTCCATCAATCCCCATATGATCCCACCCCGATCTCATACAACGATCCCCGGCAAACATACTATGATTCCCACCCGGTCTACCCCCCATCTCCCCGCCAAACATACCATGATTTCCCCCCGGTCTACCCCCCATCTCCTCGCCAAACATCATCGGGTACATGGCATGATGGCTCCTCCACGACGGCGCACCACGAATTCAACCCAGTGACTCGCCCTCATCAGCAGTGGCCTCCTACTCCTCACCGTATGAGCGCGGATGTCCCCCGCACGACCCCGGAAGTGCAAATTCCTCTCCAACACAGCACTGAAGAGCGCCACACTACCTCGGCCGTTCGAAATTCGCCACCGCAACCACCTGTTGTTACTCCCGTCGGCAAACGTACAAGAAGCAAGAAAACCGTGGCCTCCGGTGAAGCTCGTGGACTTCCTTGAGATGTATTTTTCGTTGAATTTTGAATCTATGTACTTGGAACTATTTCCCTTATCTTAGTTTATTTAATTGAGTGTTGTTTCAATTTGAGTTTTATTTCTATGTACTTGGAACTATTTTCTATTATCGTTAAATAGCCTTCTATTTTCGTTGTAAAAATTCAGACGTAGATTAATCAAAATTGAGAACCGT